TTTCCTATCAGGCACTTCTCCTCAGAATTTTACTTTTGTCTGTGAGATATTTAAATTTACAGTGTTTTAGTTTTGTTTTCATGTCATAAACTTAACGGGCAATTGTTATTTCTGCAGAACTGGTTGTGTACTGCTCTGAGTTACTATTGGGATTCTCTCATTGCTCTGTGTTCATTACAAAGTAGCGTTAAAAAGGCAGCTCGCCGTTGGCTGGTAACTCAGCGCGAGAATCCATGCCTGCCATGAAAACACAATGCACCAGGTGTTCTTCTTAAACGAAGCACCGTGCATTATTTTGAAATTATTTTTTAAAATGTTCTCTGATTCAGCTCAAATTTTATTATGGAAAAGCCATTGAGGTGGTTGCTATTGTATGGTGGTGGTGGTTTTATTATATGCAAAATCTCTTTGTATTATGCGCTACTGGCATCGAGGAGCTTCGCCTAAAGATTAGTAAGTATTTTCAATAATCCACCTCTCTCTCTCCTCGCCTCACCTCTCCCTTCTGTTCTCTGTGATTGATGTGGGGAGAAGGCGAAAGAATCTGAGACCAGATGAAAACATTGTGTATAGCTTTTATACTTTAGACTAGCTTCCTTTGTATGCCAGCAGCAGACTGAATGCCCTCTTATTAAGACTTATACAATAAGTGCATGTAGGAATTGCAAAAAATATTTTAAAAATTTATTACTGAATTTAAAAATATTTTAGAAGTTTTGTAATGGTGGTGTTTTAATATTTTGCATAATTAAATATGTACATATTGATTAGAAAAATATAATAAGCAATTTTTCCTGCTCTCCCAAGATGTTATTTGTAATCAAATGTGTAGTGATTACACTTGAATTGTGTATTTCGTGTGTACCTGATCCTCCAGTGTTACCCGGGAGATGGAATTGGTGTCTCCATTGTATTTAAACCAAAATGAACTGATACTTGTTGGAATGTATGTGAACTAATTGCGATTCTTTAGAGCGTATTACTGTAGTGCTGAAAGCGCAGGGCGAAGCCTGCCAGGAGGGGAGACCGTTGGAATTGTTTTTGCACAGGTGTGTCTGGTGAGGAGCTGGTCAGTGTGTGTCCCTCCCTCCCCTCTCTCTTCCTCCCCCATTGTAGTGCCTTATATGATAATGTAGTGGTTCTAGAGTTTACAGTGAGCTTGCCTTAGCATGGACCAGCAAGCCCCCGGGAGCCCAAAGCTGGTCACTGGGTTGATAGAAGAGGATTAGTAGCTGTGCTGTGTAAATGCATTGTTCTCAGTTTCCCTGCCGACCCGGAAACATTCAAATAGCAGCTGTCCTCCTTTCCCGCCGCCTCTGCCCCCTCTCCATTCCGGCGGCTCAGCCTCGCTCTCACAGAAGCATTTCCCCACGTGGCTCTCTCACTGCGTGGCTACCTGCTCCTGTGAGCGTTCAGGAAGCAGGTGAGGGGAGTCAAGCCAGTATTCCATATGCATTGTTTCTTCTTTCCAAAAAGGATGTGCAATCACTTTGAGAATGAGATTCCGCCCCCCTTTTCCCGTGTGGTAGTCCTTCCTGCAGATAGCTGACATTCCTAGTAAAATATTTGCTTGTTGAAAAAATATATGACAGATGTGTTTATACCAAAGAGCCTGTTGTATTTCTCACCGTGTCCCCATACTACGAACAGTCTTGTGATGCCCCTGGTGGCAGCGAAGAATATTAAGAAAGTACCAAAGCCACTGGGCTTTGAGGTTCCTTTTTACCAACTCGTATATTCTCAGGGCCCTTCCGACTGTGAAACTGCCCTTGTCCTCTCAGCTCCTGCCTGGATCTGGGTCAAGTAGAGGGGACTGCGGACGGGATGTTCCTGCCCATGAAGATTTTGGGGAAGAGAGTTAACCCTAAGGCACAGAAGTGTTCCATCTGAATAGAAAATGCCGGTTGAGGGATACGTCTGAGACGGGTTCTTTGTGGAGATGGTGTAGGGAGGTGCAGGATGGAGATGGGGGATTTCATGGAGCCCGGGCAGCCAGCCCTGCTCGGGGTCGAACACCGAGGAGCTGTCAAGGTATTTGGAGTTTCTTCTTTGTGAGGAGTCTGGGCTTCCGGGAGGGGCAGTCAGCACAGCCTGCCGGGAAGGTGTCGGTCGGCGCTTTCTGTGTATTTTAAATTATATTGCGTCGTGTTTTCAGCACTCTACTGGCCAAGATACCCAAGCAGTTAGTATCGTTTCTGTCACTAGTGCGTTCGTGTTCTGGTCGGCGTGTGTGGTCTCTATGTCTCCTTTGTGCCAAGTCCATTCAGAGTTTCTTGCTTCAAAGGCAGAGCTAGTTTGTCATGGAAACTTTTTTGTGTTCCTTTTCTTTACAAGAGGTAGGAATTGTTTTTGTAAGAAACAAGATGCAGGAAAACAACCACAAAACACTCCACTCCTGCCCCCAGTCCAGTAGGTAGATACCGTTTAAAGATTCGGGAAAAGACGATGCCAAGATTTGTATTGTTACCTTAATCACCTTACTAGCATTGTGTGGCTTTAGGGATTCTAGAGCTTTTCAGTCAGTCTGTCAGTTGGCATTTCAGATCCACCCAGGTAAAAACCCACCTGTGTCTGCTGAATGTCTGTGTGCTCCGTGGGGCTTTCGATCCTGTCCCTGGGGTTCGAGCAGCTGGCCTGCGTCGAGGTGGCCTGGCCTCCGACCACGTTAAGGCTGTAGGCCCTCTCAGGAGTGCACTTCCTGTTTCTCCCCTTCCGGGTGAGAGAGAAGGTGGGGAAGGGTTAATTAAATGCAGCCTGATCACTCCAGAGTTCTTAATAGCTCCTAGGAGGTGATCCTGCAGTCAGTGCTCAGCTCCCAGCCCCAGGAGTAAGTACTCCATGTCAGGCGGTCTGCCACCCACCATCCTCCAGGGGAGCGGGGAAGCCTGAGGGCCCTCAGCCAGGCAAGTCCAGTCACGGGCATTTTTTTCAGCAGCATTATGCAAAAACCCACTGGTTAGGGTGGTCTGTTTTAAGTTAGGAAATGAAGTTGCCTCCCAGTGACAGGAATGGCCCAAGCCTGCTTCCTATTTTGATTGTGTTTTTAACTGATGGATGGTGCAGCATGTCTTCATGGTTGTTCGTGGCTAAACTTTATATAATGTGTGGTTTTGATTCAGCTTGAAAAATAATCTCACTACATGTAGCAGTACATCTATGTACATTCTATGTAATGTTAGTATCTCTGCTTTGAACCCTTGATATTGCAATGGAATTCCAACTTTATTCAGTGTATTTGATATGCTAGTTATCGTGTGCGACTTAAACTTTCGTTGCTTCCTCCCTTTTCTGGTCGCGCTCTTCCTTTGACAATGAGCCTCTAGAAGCAGTTTCTGAGAATTACTGAGCTATGTTTGTAATGCAGATGTACTTAGGGAGTATGTAAAATAATCATTTTAACAAAATAAATAGATATTTAAAATTTAATACTAACTACGGGGAAAAGGGTCCATTGTGTAAAACATAGTTTATCTTTGGATTCAATGTTTGTCTTTGGTTTTACAAAGTAGCTTGTATTTTCAGTATTTTCTACATAATATGGTAAAATGTAGAGCAATTGCCATGCATCAATAAAATGGGTAAATTTTCTGATTCATGTGGCTTTTTTACTTTTGTTATATTGAGTTGTGTTTTCAGCACTCTACTGGTCAGGATCCTCAAAGGGAGTCACCAAATGGCATCTTTGGATACCTGAATACACCTGAAAATCAGTAGACACATTATGTATTAGAGACCAATTCATCTTTCATACAGACCTCCAGAGTGGAAATGAGTGGGCATGGGAGGGGACATTTCCCAAGAATGGAGTGGCATGGCCCTCACTGGAGATCTGGCCCTTTCAGAGGCAGAAACCTCTGACACCGGCTAATTAAATAAATGTCATTTCCTAGCGCGTTCCACCTGACACTTCACATAGCAGAGTGAACATCAGGGTCACAACCAGACTGCTCCTCTCCCCTCCGCGCCAGCTGGTTGGAAGCCAGGTCCTTGTAGAGGAGGAGCACTTGTCATCAGAGCTCTCTTCATCCCAAAGAGAAAAATTCCTCCGGATCAAGAATTAGAGGTTTGTCTGGGTTAATCACTGCAGGTCTCTGAGTAAATGGAGTAAATGCTACATTCACTTGACTCCTTTGGACACGGGTTTCAGGGCCAGTTAACCCTCCAGGGGCCATTCACTCGTTTGGGGCTCCTGAAGTCATAGTGGGGATCTAGAAATGAGACACATTCAGAAACACCCTTGTGGACCATCACCAAGAGCAATGATCAGCAGTCCCCTCCCGTAAGTAGGGAAGTCATAATACATTTATACTGATTGACACTGCACATACATACTTTTCAGATTTTCCCCTGAATAAAATGAATGTAAAGTTAGTGTGAACTTGCTGAACACTCCCCAGTTAAGAGAATGTACCTCAAAGCATTCAGGCCAAGGAAAGCCGTCTACAAAGGCTCTGCTGTCAATCATGCTTCCAGTTAATCAAGAATTTACCGACTTCTCAATGACCTGTTTTGTTTTCAGTTTGTTTTTTATCTGTTATATTCTTGTCTTTAGGCTAAATAGGAGAGAGGCTGGCATAGCCCCATAAGTATTTGGGTAGTTTGTAGGGAAATCTGCAATTTAATGATGAAAACACCTATAAATTCAGTCTGCTTGGCTTGCTGTGTGGAAAATTCCACAAGAAGTTGAAGTGGTAGCCTTGGTTCCCCTGTTAATCCTGAGATGATATCTGGTGTTCAGCACTAGGTGGCGCCAACGAGCTACGGAAGACCATGATACAGAAGACCCACTGTAGCCCTTTTCCCCACCTCTTCCCCTCAAACCTCCTCTCCCGCTTCCAGCTTTCACTGACCAAGGCAGAAAACAGCCCATGCTATTCTTGCTGGGAAAGATTAATGAAGGCTATTTCTTATGTCAGCGCTGGAGGCCTTCTGAAACATGGGAACAGAGTTTGCTGAGTTTTCCCTGGGGCCTCCCCAGCGCCCCCTTCTCCTGGGTGACTGCCCAAAGGCTGTGCCCTGGGTTTCCATCGCCTCCTCTCCTGGGGAGCCTACAGCCTAGGCAGGAGGTGGTTAAGGCTTCTGGCTGCTCTGCAGTGGGGCCATCTGTGTTTGATCAGTCCTGGCAGAAAGGAGGGGGCGGGGGCCGTGAAGGCCTGAAAGCATTCCAGAGGAGTGAGAGAGACCCAGAGATCCAGAAGGAGAAGGCCCGCCCCCACCCCGCCTCCCAGGCTCACCCACGGGCTCCAGGGGCAGAGGCGCCTGCACACGGCTGCCCGTGCACTCCTGCACTGGCCCCACTCTCCCGCTGCCATGGGACCCTGCGCTCCTCTCCTCCTCCTGCTCCTTCTGTCGTGGTCCGGACCCCTTGGAGGACAGCAGCAGCACCTGGTGGAGTACATGGAACGCCGGCTAGTCGCCCTGGAGGTGAGTGACACCTCTCCTAGCCCAGCCTGGCAGGGCGGCACATTTTTTTGTTGGTGCACTCGGTGTCTCAGGCATCGAGGGATGACAAGACAGGGCTCTGTCAGAACCTACAGAAAACTCCATCTTTATTATTATTCTCAAAACTTAAAGCCCTCTTCCCCACATACACAGAGCAAGTCAGACCTTTGCGTCTTACCCCTGGGATTCGATAGAGTGGAGGGAAGAGTGCAAACTGGAGCTGGGACTGTGAGGACGCAGCTCAGGACGAGCTGGTGCTTCTGCTCAAGTTGGAAGTTCCCAGAGAACTAACTCTCTGCCTGTTTCCCACGTTGAAGTCTGGAGCATATTAATCCCAGGAGGATTGTGCTGTGGAGCAGAGAGCTCTCCCCACCGTGCACTTAGACGGCGAGGCTGGTGGCTCAGGGGCCCTGCTGGCAGAGAAGGCAGGCCAGAGGACGTGCTGTGGTGGCAGGGGCCTAGGTGAGCCCGAGCCAGGCTTTCTGCACATTTAGCGTCTCTGAACATCTGGTTTCCTTTCCGTGGAGGCTGCAGGGGATATTGCTGCCGGCTAAGTGTGTGCTCTTCCCCATTCCCGACTCCCTGGTTGGGCCTCTCCCTGCCTGGGAGTCGTAACCCTGCATCCTTTCCTCCTTCCCCCATTCCCTCCTCCCCCCATCCCCCCATCCCTTCAGGAACGGCTGGCCCAGTGCCAGGACCAGAGCAGCCGGCATGCTGCTGAGCTGCGGGACTTCAAGAACAAGATGCTGCCGCTGCTGGAGGTGGCGGAGAAGGAGCGGGAGGCCCTCCGGACGGAGGCGGACACCATCGCGGGGAGAGTGGACCGTCTGGAGCGGGAGGTGGACTATCTGGAGACCCAGAACCCAGCTCTACCCTGTGAAGAGGTGAACGAGAAGGTGCCCGGAGGCTCTGGGACCAAAGGCAAGGGCAGGAGAAATGAGAAGTACGACATGGTGACAGGTGAGCGATCTGGAGGCAGACCCCTGGCTCCGAGAACCTGTGTCCTGGTCCTCGGCCTGTCCGGAGGAATCCAAGCCTGCACGGGGAATCCTGAGCTGTCCGCCACGGTCCCCTCTTCCCTCCTTGCCCCCATCCGCTTTGGCTGAATACAGTGGGGCCTTGACTTACGAGTTTAATTTGTTCCATGATGGAGCTCATAACTCAAATTACTCGTATGTCAAATCAAAAGTGAATGAGTGAGACACATGATGCTGGGCTGATGTTGTGACGTTCACTGTGACGTTCACTGTGCCAACCAGTGGTGGGGTATCTGAAGCTGGCTCATAACCCGAATTTTAGCTCGCAACTCAAAGCAAAAAATCGGCCGAGAGACGGCTCGTATCTTGAAAAACTCGTTAGTTTTGACTCGTAAGTCAAGGCCCCACTATATTCTGGAATCTGTTTTAGGGCAACTCGGTAATGACGGGCCCATCAAGGAGGGTTTCTGGGGACCTTTTTCCCCATTGCAGTGGAGGCATCCACTAGGCAATTGCCCACTGTTCTCCAGTGGCCCACCCTGGGAGCAGGCGCTTCCTGCGTTGGGCATCTAACTCTTGCCTCTATTTCCTGTGCTTTCCTCCTTCCCCACAGACTGTGGCTACACCATCTCGCAGGTGAGATCCATGAAGATCCTGAAGCGTTTCGGGGGCTCAGCTGGGCTCTGGACCAAGGACCCCCTGGGACCCACAGAGAAGATCTATGTGTTGGACGGGACACAGAATGACACGGCCTTTGTCTTCCCGAGGCTACGTGACTTCACCCTGGCCATGGCTGCCCGGAAAGCTTCGCGCGTCCGCGTCCCCTTCCCCTGGGTGGGCACAGGGCAGCTGGTATACGGTGGCTTTCTTTATTATGCCCGGAGGCCTCCTGGAGGACCTGGAGGGGGTGGGGAGTTGGAGGACACTTTGCAGCTCATCAAATTCCACCTGGCAAACCGCACGGTGGTGGACAGTTCAGTGTTCCCAGCAGAGGGTCTGATCCCCCCCTATGGGCTGACGTCAGACACGTACATCGACCTGGCGGCTGACGAGGAGGGCCTGTGGGCTGTCTATGCCACCCGCGAGGACGACAGACACTTGTGTTTGGCCAAGTTAGACCCACAGACACTGGACACAGAGCAGCAGTGGGACACACCATGTCCCAGAGAGAACGCCGAGGCTGCCTTTGTCATCTGTGGGACCCTGTACGTCGTCTATAACACCCGCCCTGCCAGTCGCGCCCGCATCCAATGCTCCTTCGATGCCAGCGGCACCCTGACCCCTGATAGGGCAGCGCTCCCTTACTTCCCCCGCCGATACGGTGCCCACGCCAGCCTCCGCTATAATCCCCGCGAGCGCCAGCTCTATGCCTGGGATGATGGCTACCAGCTGGTCTATAAGCTGGAGATGAGGAAGAAGGAGGAAGAAGTTTGAGGAGCTGGCCTCATGTGAGGAATCGCTCCCATCTCCATACATTTATAGCCCCACTATGTTTCCTGCTCATTCTCTGAACGTGGGCAAGTTGTAGTTCAAGTCTCATCTTTTAGCCCATGGAAGCCGAGTTCCGATGGCCCCTTTGTTTCCTAGGGGACTCTGGATCTTGTGTACCCCTTTTAGAGCTGAAAGAGAAAACCCGAAGGGTTCACTCCTTTCTCCTGGCCCATGTCCACAAATTTCAGGTCTAAGATGACCCAGAGCTCTGGCCCTCGGATGGGGGCCACCCCAGTGAGAGGCAACAGAGTATTTGTTGCCTCCATGTGAGTTGGAGGAGAGAGGACTTTCAACGCTGCCCTCTCCCATCAATGCCCTCAAGAACGGGACTCTCTCCACCTCATTTTGTACTGACCCGTTTTGCATTAAAGGGAAAATCCACGGCTCCTCGCCTGTGTCTGTCTGGGGCAGCCCTCAGATCATATTTCACCCATGACCCTCTCTTTTCCCCTCCACCCCATCCCGGCTCCATAAACCACACTGGGGACTTGGCTGGGTTCCCTGGCTGAGGGAGAGGCACTTCTCTGGTTACAGATTTCACGGTGAGGCGCCGGGGAGCAGCAGAGCCCGCCACTTCAGGAGGCTGGCAAAAGCCCTCCACACCCACCTCGTCCTCCTCAGCCCTCCCAGATCCACCAGTGGCTCCCACCTCTGGCCGGAGACTGCCCAGGGGCCGAGCTTCCGATTCCAGCTCTCAGAGGTGTTGAACCAGAAAGTGGATTGATTGTAGCTGCATGGCAGGCTCATGTGTGTGGAAGCCAGCGCCCTGAACGCATGTGTTTTCAGTAAGAACTTGAAGTCCTACCTCCGGAGTGGACTCGGCCGCACTCCCGGCTCCAGCGGCGGGCTGGCCCCCAGGGTTGCACAATCGGACTTGGTCTGAGCCTCCCTGATTTTCCTGCTGCCACAGCGTCTGCGGTTTGGGTGGAGGGGCAGTGACCATGTCTCAGATGTGAGGCCTCCAGTTTCCCAACACACTCCCTCTCTCCACCCTCATCCCCCCACCTACCCACCCTGGGCCGGGACCCTGGCAGAAGTCTGCCCAGGAGTCCTGGAAACTTAACCCCTTCTGGATGGCCCCCTGGCCTCTGGTTTGCAATGGCCGGAGACCATCTGGGAGGAGGAAAACCCCGGGTTTGGGACCCCAGTCCCTGGGAATCTGCTGAGCTCTGGACCAGGCCCACCCCAGCTTCCTCCCGGTGCCCTGGACAGCACTGAGCAAGGCTGTTGGACGGCCGACCCCCTGCTGTTATGGGGACGTGGGAGTCCTCGTGGTGACTTACCCCAAAGGGAGGGGGGAAAGGAAGATGGTCTCCCCACAGTGACCAGTCCCCCCCCCCCCCCACGGTGGGTCAGCCAGGGCCCCACCAGCCTCCTTTGCCTTCTCCCCGCAGGCTGAGCCGCCCCCCACGTGGGTGGATGAGGAAGGGGGAAGAAAGGCAGCAGGGGCCGGAGGCGGTGGGGGCGCACCGTCCACTTCTCTCCTAATGGGGGGCTGGCAATGGCCGTCACCCCTATCAGCCCTCGGAGGGGTCTGCCCGCAGAGCGTCGGGCCCCAGCGCAGGTGCAGGCGCAGGCGGGAGGGGAGGGAGGCAGGAGAGGGAGGGAGGGTTCTCGGTGCAGCCTGGGGGGGGGGGGGCGGTCCGGCCATAGGGTGTGTGTGTGTGTGTGTGTGTGTGTGTGTGTGTGTGTGTGTGTGTGTGTGGCCACGCCCACTGCGGCTGAGCGCGTGCGTGCGTGCGTGCGTGCGTGCATGTGTGCGCATGCGTGTGCGCACCTGGCGGGAGTCACCTCCCGCCTCCCGCCTGCTGTGCGGGGCTGGAAGCTGCTAGAAGGTGGGTTGTCCTCATGCAGCACCGAACATCGGGAATGGCTTTTCGGTGACGGGACCGAGGAGAGGACGGTCCGACTCGGCGCCCGTGACGCCATGTGAGTATAAAACCGGGCTGTCCTCCCCCGCCCCCCTCATGGCGTCGTTCTTTGCCTGATTCCTCCAGGACAAGAGTTGTTGTTATTTTCTGGCCTTAACATTTCTTCGGGGAAGTTCCCTCCGACTTTTCTGAAAGGGCAGACATCTCTGGGGCCTTGTCATTTACTTCTTTCCGCCTCCCCCCCATCCCCCGCCCCCTCCTTTTTGGCTCCCGTACAAAAGCTGGTGCTGTGCGGGGCTTTGGGGAGGTGGATGGGGCGGTGCGGGCGGATCCGGGACTGTCCAGGTCCGTTCAATTAGACGGCCCGCCGCTCGGATCGGGGGGACTGTCCAGGTCCGTTCAATTAGACGGCCCGCCGCTCGGGTCCGGGGACTGTCCAGGTCCGTTCAATTAGACGGCCCGCCGCTCGGGTCCGGGGACTGTCCAGGTCCATTCAGTTAGACGGCCCGCCGCTCGGGGCGGCCTGGGTGCTGCATCCCTCACCCGCCTTCTTGGACCCTGCACCGCCGGGCTGGGCAGAAGCGAGTCCTGCACCCGGCGGAGGAGTGAGGTTGCAGGAGGCCTGGCCTCTGGTTTGGGTTGAACAAAAGGCAGCGCGACCCTGATGGGGGAGCAGGGCCAAAGCCCAAAGAGAAGGCGGCCCCACACCCGTCCCCGAGGCCTGGCCCCAGGACGGTCAGGGCAGGGAGGGCTGTGGGAGCGGCCGCCGGAGGCAGGAGGGACAGCCTCCCCGGATCCGGTCCAGATGCTGCCTCTCCGTCACCAGGCAGGGCTCAGGGGGCTCCCTGCCCCGACTCTGGCCCCACAGTGTCCTGTCCCCACGTCCCTGCTCGCCTCATTCTTCTCAGGGTCCCTTCCCCTGGCGCAGGCCTTGGTGTCTCCCTGCCAGAGCAGCCACAGTGCCCATCTTGTCGTCGTCATCACGGACCGAGCCAGTGTGTGTGACCCCTGCATGGTGGGGAGGGAGGGGCAGAGATGCAGGGGATGGAGTGTTGACTCAGCTGTCAGGGCTTCCTCTGGGACGGGGGCTGAGCCAAACGGAGCCCGAGCCCTTTCCCTCTCCCTCTCTCTCCTCCTCCTCTCCCTCCTCCTCCTCCTCCTCCTCTCAGTTTTCTGGATGCTTTCTCAATCCCTCTCCTTACACAGCTGCGCCTTCCCGGGGCTCCTGGGAGCACCCCTCCTCGGCTGCCCTTTTCTCCACCCGGTGCAGGTCAGAGCACGCTCAGTGTGAGAGCTGGTAGACCCTCCTGGTGTCTCCCAGCCTTCAGGACGGTTCCCTGTAAAAAAATTATTTTTATTGATTTTAGTGAGAGGAAGGGAGAGGGATGGAGAGATAGAAACATCGATGAGAAACATCGATTGGCTGCCTCCTGCACGTGTCACACTGGGGATTGAGCCCACAATCGAGGCCTGTGCCCTGACCAGGAATCAAACCGTGACCTCCTGGTTCACCAGGCGATGCTCAACCACTGAGCCACACTGGCCGGGCTGGATCGTTCTCTTTAGGGCCTGTGCGCAGGCTCTCCGTGGCCGTGTCTGGCCCCTCTGCCCTCAGCCCCCAGCAGCAGCCACAGCCTCTCCTGCCCCTCTGCCACCCGGCACCAGGGCTGAAGCTCGGCTCTGCCTGCTCCTTTTCAACTCCCGCTCTCACCATGCGGAGCTTAAAAGATTAAATCTTTATTTATGGATTTAATAACTCCGCAGAAGGATTAGACATGTGAAAGCCAGTGTATGAAAGGGCAGAGTGAGAGAGTAGAAACGACGCCCTCTCAGCCCGGCCCCTCCAGAGCCCGGGCTCTGACAGCCCTCGCTGGCCCTGCGGTCCTGGGCAGGTCAATTCCCTGAGCTTCGGAGAGCATGACCTTCCCCAGAGACCTGTGAGTGGGCGAGCCGGGGCTCTGACAGCCCTCGCTGGCCCGCGGTCCTGGGCAGGTCAATTCCCTGAGCTTCGGAGAGCATGACCTTCCCCAGAGACCTGTGAGTGGGCGAGCCGGGTTCATAAACTAACTGGGGCTCTAGGCATGCCCATCCCCAGGCCATGGCTCTCAGCGCCTTCCATCGGACACTCTGCCGGAGGTCTGGTGTTAGAGACCCTCTGCCCGGATCCAGTGGCTCTTCGGCCGCCTTTTCTCTCCATTTGCACATTGTCCGTGGGAAAACACGGCGCCTGTTCCCCACGTAGGTCTCTCCATTAGCAGTGACAGCCATCAGATGTGGACGCATCTGCCCCTTCTTAGTGCCTGAACCAACTCCACCAGCAGAGAGAGAGAGAGCGAGAGAGAGAGAGAGCTGGGGTTTTGGCTTTTTTTCTTTTTTAACATAGTGCTCCCAAGCTGCCTTTTTCCTCAAGCATATTTCCTCTGAAGATATTTTAGTTGTTCAGCGTGTGCCCTTGTAGCCCTCACTGTTGACTTCTTGGACTTATTCGCTGTTGATTCTGACAGATCCTTCAAGGCCGTTTTGGTTGCATTTGGTCTTAGAGATATTTATTACCGTCCGATTGCACAAGGTTTTCATTCTCTGGCTGGTTTGACGTTGTGTTCCAGACCCGTAAATCCGCCCAGTTGTCAAGCGCCCGAGCTGTTCTCCATCCATTCTGATTGCCCGTTGGAGGGAGGAAGACAGTGCGGAAAGGGCCCAGGGGTGGGAGTAAGAGGACCTCTCTGTTTTGGTTGAGAGTCCTGGCCCTGCTTCCCATGAGCTGTGTGACCTTGAGCCAGATGCCAACCCCTCTGAGCCTCAGTTGGCTCCTTTGCAAAACAGAGTTATGTTACCTGGGTTACCACTCACAGGACGGTCGAGGTTCAAGCCCTAATGCCTAAAGCTCTCGGTGTCCTCCGGCAAGGAATCTCGGGAGTCATTTCTTTCACTGAAGAAACGGAAGTCCAGAGAGCCTTTGAGGGAAGGACCGTGCCTTCTGTCTTCCCATCCCCAGACCCAGACAGGGTCTCGAGCACACTGGGTGTCCGATAGATACCTTGCCAATGAGTCGAGTGACCAGCTCATAGTGACACACCTATGACTTAACCTCTCTTGATGCCTCAGAATTATCCACATCAGTTATGACGCTTGCTGCTCTGCGACGACGCCTGCAGGGCCCGCGATACTGTGTGGAGCGTGGCCATTATGCTTGTCTACTCACTGTTCCTTCTCTGTCCTCTCTCACTGTCCCCTGTCCGTTCTCCCTGGAGCCAGGGACTCCACTCCGAGACACCGTCCTCGCTGTTTCTAATCAGCTGTCCACTTTGGGCTGGGACAGCACAAGAGTGACAGGGCTTGGAAAGATTTCGAGTTGACACACATGCCGGGTGCCTTTATTGAGTGTGGCAGAGTATTCCACAGGCCAGAGACATGGCCTGTTCTAAGCAGGAAGAGGCCTTAACATCATCTGGCCTGGCCCCTCACATCATGCAGGCGGTTTCTATCTCACGGTGCCCTGTCCAGCCACTTGTGAA